ATTTATATTTTTGATATATTTTATATATTTAAATGCCATTTAACAAGGAAAAAAATGAGCTCGTGTGTCACCTCTGACACGTGTGTCATGTCATAGGTTCGCCATCACTGCCCTCAGTCCGGGCCTAAACGCCCCTTCCTCGGGGAGCCTCCCCCAGCCACACAGCCTGTGCCTGTCTGCCCCCCACGGCCACGCTGCCCAGGGCCTTGCCGCCTCCTTCCTGCGTGTGCCTAGCACTCACTCAGCAAATGCGAATGGGAAGCTGTTAACTTTCTGAATGGCCTTCTCCGGTTCCAATGATGGATGGGACTCCTTACAAAACGCTCAGGGGACTTAACCTGGGTATGGCCCCACCTCCAGGGGGGCCCTGGCAAGGCACTGAAACCTGTGCCATTTCCGTTTTCTTTAAAAACGGGGTGACGGCCCCCCTTACGCAGTGGTGAGGCTTAAACGAGTCAGTCACGTGTGTACATGACGGGTGCCTGCCACGGAGGGTCCTGGGCGCGCTGCACTTGTCCCAGCGTGCTTTCACCTGGTGCCTGATGGTCGTGTCCTCAGAGGACTCAGCCCGCTCCCCTCGGTTCCTGCAGGTTCTTTGAAGCATTTCCGCCGCTCAGAGCCCAGCCCCATCCCCACAGGCCTTCTCTGACCTCCAGACCTGTCCCCTCCTGGTTGGGTCCAAAGTACCCGCCGGTTAGTGTATTTCCAGGCATCACTCCTCCAGAAAGACCCGCCCACCAGGCACCAGTGACGTCAGTGCGCACACAGTCTGTCTACCTCTAGCCGGGTGCTGGCCTCGGGGGGTGGAGATGCAGTGCTAGGACGCCACGGCCTCCTGAGAAGCAGGACTTTGCAAAGTGCGGGGCCTCGGCCCTGCTCTGGCGCGTGACCTCTGCGCCTCCCTCTGCTTCCTCTAAAGTGGGCGTGGTAACCTTTCCTACCCAAGAGCGTGCCATGCCGGACGGCGCAGAGTCAGGGCCTGGCACCTCCACGGCCCTGAGAACAGTCCCCTTTGTCAGCTCGCCCCGCTCCCCAAGCACCTCCTGTCCGCTCACTGACCGCCTTCTCCTCGGCCAGGGCACCTACATCTACTTCGACTACGAGAAGTGGGGCCAGCGGAAGAAGGAAGGCTTCACCTTCGAGTACCGCTACCTGGAGGACCGGGACCTCCAGTGACACCGGCCCGCCCCCACCCCACCCCAGCATGCTGACCCCCTGCCCCAAGGGCTCTGCCCTGGAAGATGGGGAGGCCCCAGGCCATGGGGCAGCCCCCTCCCCCAGGAAGCAAGGAGGGGCCGGGAGGCTTTCTCTTCCTCTCAGCCCCACCCTGGGGGCCTGGGGGCGAGGGCTGCCCCCTCCTCCCCTCTCGAGTTGAGGGACATTTTTTGGTAAACCTATTTTCATTTTGGAAAATATTTATGAATAAATAGTTTTATATGACGGCTGGCAGCAACAGCCTCTCCTGTACCCCTCAGGAGTCAGTGAGCCAGAGGGGGGTCCTGCCAGCGGGGGCGTCGGGCCAGCTGCGGGTTGAACTGGGAGTTGTACCGCCTCCGCCGATCGTCTGTCTCTTCTGGTGGCTCCTCCGGTTGTGACCCCCCTCGGACCCGGGCCAGCAGGGCCTCTGCCCGCGCCCTCTCAGTGGCTTCCCGCCGAAGGCGTTCAGCTCGAAGCTGGTCCAGGGACGGGGATCTGGGGGAAGGAGAATCAGGTTAGAAAGCTGAAGCCCCAGCTTCCCCCAAGAGGGAGCAGCCACCGGCCCCCCTGCCTGCATCAGACGTGCTCCTGGCCTTGGCTCCTGGAGCCTCTGGGACCAGGAAACGGACCTCCCTCCAGGGGCCAGGACCTGTGCTGCCCTGTGGGCCTCTGTCCTCCCCGGTCTCAACAGTGAGGTGCCCCTTCAGATCAGGAGAGGCTGCTGCTAATCAGCTGCGTGACACTGCACACACCCGGGCCTCTCAGCCTCCGTTTCCCCTCCTGTGCTCGGGTCTGCCATCCTAGCAACAGGCCTGCTTCTGCTCTAACCCTGCGGTTCTCAAAGCTCCAGGACCCCACAGAGCTCCTGTGTCCCTGGGTTGTAGAGCCTCTGATAATGTGAACATTAGAAGTGAAAACAAATCTTGGAAACAAGCGTGTCCCACCAGCCATCAGAGCAGTGGAACCTCCACGTCACTCATGCAGCCCCTGGGAACCACTACAAAGTGAAAAGCTACATGGTGTTGCTGTGAAAACAGGCTTGACCTTGCCGAGCCCCCAGGGTCACTGAGAACCACCTCTGCCCAACCAGCCTGTCCCAGAGCCCCTGGCGCCCACACGGGCTCCCTCCTTACTCTTTGGGCCGCTGTTTCTCAGGCCTCGCTTCCTTTCTGCTGCGTCCGCTGTGGTCACCGCTGTGCCTTCTCTTCTTCCCCAAATGTTTCTGCATCTCCAGCAGAGGGTCCAGGCGGTTCTTGACCTTCACATCTGGTCCTGGGCCGGACGGGGGCGCCCCTCGCTCTGGGGGCAGCTGGTACCAAGGGGGCTGAGTCTGGGCTTCCGCTGCGCTCTGGCCCAGGTACGTCAGGATGCCCAGAGCTTTCTCCTGCTTCTCCTGAGGGCGACAGGAAACCGGAAGATGGTCAAGTGTGTCTCCCCGCAGGGAGCCCTGGGTGTGGTAACACGGACACCCACGGCTGGGAGGGCGGAACCCGTCGTTCAGCCAAGTGTTGAGGGCCTGTCATGAGCCAACTCCGCTACGTGCTGGAGACAGGAGACCAACACAGGTGGGGTCCTGCACCGGGCGCAGTGGCGGCTCTAATGGCCTGTCATGAGCCAACTCCGCTACGTGCTGGAGACACAGGAGACCAACATAGGTGGGGTCCTGCACCGGGCGCAGTGGCGGAAAGCACGGGGAGGGGGAGGCACTTGGAGGACAGAAATCTGAACAAGCAAACCAGGCAGAGAAAGGCTGAGGCAGGGGGAGGACAGGATCTGACTTCATTTTACAAAGCTCAGATCCCTTCCCGGTCTTGACATTGGGTCTGTGCCTGCAGCTTCAGGCCTGGGGTGGGGTGGGGGGAGTGACCAGCTTCCACTCCCAAGCCTCCTCGGCCTGGAGGGCTACGACCAGAACTCCCTGTGCCCCGTTCAGTCTGTTCTGAGTCTCCATTAGCTCACTTGGTCCCCACCTGTCCTAGGCACCTGAGGGCAGAGTGCCCCTCCCCCCTGCTCCCTGCCAGACATGAGTGAGTGAGGCCGGCTTACCTTCTCCTGTCGCTTTTCTTCCTCATACTCTTTGTTGCTTCCGGTCACCCCTTTCCCCTCCTCCAGCAGCTCCCGAAACAGGTCCACAGGGCCAGAACTCGGGGCCCCCGCATCTGCTGCTTCGAGCTCTGGTAGCGAGTTCCGATGCCTGGCTTTCTTCCGCAGGAATTCTGTGCGGGCCTGGGGGGGAGAAAGTTATGGGCAGAACATTCAGAACCTAGATGTGATCAGAGGAACCGCGAGTGTGGTGCTGCCACAGAGAATTGTGCTGGCGGCCCAGGAGAGGCACCTTCCCAGCCTGGGGAGGAGGGGAAATGAGGCGCCGGCTGGTTTGTAAGATGCCCCTTACCTAAGATGCCTTTCAACCACATGCCAGAGGGTTTCCCAGTCTCAGTGACACAACAGATAACCATGGAGGCAGCCAAAACATCAGGACAGGCGATCTGAGTTCCAGGCAGGGCTCCAAGTCACTGCCCAAGTCGAACTTTTAATTTTTTAACACAGAAAGGGAGATACATTGATTTTTAAAATATATTTTTTATTTCAGGGAGGAAGGGAGAGGGAGAGAGAAAGAGAAACATCATTGATCAACTGCCTCCTCCATGCACCACACTGGGGATCGAGCCTGCAACCTGGGCATGTGCCCTTGCCTGGAATCGAACCCGGGACCCTTCAGTCTGCAGGCGGACGCTCTATCCACTGAGCCAAACCAGCCAGGGCGGGATACGTGGATTTGCTGTTCCACTACCTGGCCGGCTCTCAGTCGGTTTCCAATCTCAACTGACACGTGAATTTAAAAAGCCCAGGCTACCTCCCAGCCAGCGCTGAGGACCACCAGGTGTGCACCGGACAGGTAAAGAAGCTACACAGGGAGCGCGTCTCATGGGTGGGGGTGGAGGATGGACCGGCAGTGCAAAGGCTCCCCACGGAGAGGCCTTGGCTCGCGCCCGTCACTCCGGCGCGGCGTCCTCTGCCCTCTGCTCCGGGGGCTGATGGCAGCGCCCCTCCGACCACCACCCGAGCTGCAGGGATGTCACGAGTGGAGCGCTCTGCGCGGGACGGGCATCCAGAAGGCGCTCAATAAACACACTACAAGCAAACTAAAGAGTGGCCCGAGCTTCCTGGAACTGCTCGGGGGTTCCTTTATTCATACGCTCCTGCTCTGTGCCCGGCACCGCTCCGGCCTCGCGAACAAGAGCCGAGGAAAATAGACCGAGGCAGGTTCCGCGGCTCCCAACGTTTTCCTGGGCGCTGGGCCCAGGGGCCCGCCCGGCCGCTTTCGGAGCCTACCTCTTGCTGAGCGAGCAGCACCCTCCGTTCGCGCTCTTTCTCCTCCTCCCGGGCCTGGGCCTCATCGCGCCGCACGCGGGCGACATTGTCCTTGTTCCGGACGTGCCAGCTCTTCTTGGGTAAGATGTTCATGGCGCCGTGACGTCCACAGACTGGCAGGCCCGCCCCCTAGTACTTCCGATTGGCGAGAGGATGCCCCGCCCTATCATACCTGCCCCAGCCACGGATTGGTCCTGGATTCACTGACACGCCCCGCCTCCCAACGCCTCGAATCATGCGTGCTGTCGCCTAGCGACCGCCTCGCGTCAACGCCCTGAGCCAATCACAGTGTCTCCACTTTTGACGCTAAACGGACGCGGCCTCTGACTGGCTGGCACGCCCGTCAGGGCCAATACCTGTGATTGGCTTGTGCCGCGGAAGCCTTGCCCCCTGCTTCCGCTCGCCAGTTTCAAAGGACGCTTAGCTGGCTCCGCTGTGTTTATTGATACAAGAATGGGGTTCCCTGGACAGTCGGGGGTGTCCAGGGCCCCGAAAATCTCAGAATCCCAGGACGGGAAGGAAGAACAGTCCTCTCCATTCTCTCATTTTACAGATGACGTGGCCGAGGCTTACAAAGGTTTGGGGGCAGGTCTGGGTCTGAGCCAGGCTGGGGAGGTCAAAGGGCCCCGTGGTCCGAGCTCAGCGCCACGGCGCGCTGTGCCAGGAAGACCTTGTTCCGCGCCTCCTGAGATAAAGGGTGAAGAGAGGTGGAGGTGAGGCAGCTGCTCCCCCCATGTCCTTGTCTCCGCTCCCCCAGGACCCCTGCCCAGGGACCCGGCCTGGCTCACCTTCTCTACCTGCCGTTTGAGCTCCGAGATGAGGCCTCCATAGGAGTTGGCCAGGGCCAGGGTATACGCCATCAGGATGCTGGAGGCGACAAGAATCAGAGCCACTCCCTGGAGGCTCTTAGAATAGCTTCAGTGTGTGGGTCCCCCGCCCTTCCTTCAGACCCAGGAGTTTGTGGCTCCACCCCCTCCCCCCTCGTTCAGGAGTTTAGCCCCCCCTCCCAGTCCCCCTCTTCACCTGGACGCAGGCAGCGGGGCGCCCCGATCACACACATTCCAACTGAAAAAAAAACAAGAGTCTGGGCCCCTCACCTGGAGATCAGCAGAAGGGGCACAGCAAAAGCTTGGGTCCCCAGGAAGAAGAGGAAGTCCTGCGTGATCTGAGGGAGTCTGGAAATCGACTCCGGGATCTGGTCCCAGATGAACAGCTGCCCCCGGAATGGACCGCACAGCTTAGAGGGCGGGATCCTGCCGTCGGAGACAGGAAGAGTTCGAGGATGGCCGAGAGTCGGGATCCCGGGTGAGGGCGGCGGGGTCAGGGAGGCAGGCGCCTGCCTCCCACACTCACAGGAAGATGCTGTAAAGCACAGGGATGGCGGAGATGGCCAGTCCCAGGAGGAGGACCATGGGGAAGAAGAAGTTCGCCGTGGAGGCCCGGAAGGTGCGGGAGGCCGGGGAGCAGGTGGAGAAGAGGGTGAGCTGACAAGGGAAGAAGGGGGTCTGAGGCACCGGCGACTGAACTCTGCAGTCTGTCTGTTTTCCCCACCCAGGAGTCCTGGTGCCTGGCCCCTCCTCACTCAGGATCCAGGAATCGGGTCCCCTCTTCCCTCAGACCTAAAAGTTGGGGTGCCCTAGACCCCCTCCTCCCACATCCAGGAATCAGTCCTGCAGACACACCCCTCCTCTCTCAGGATCCAGGAGTCTGGGACCTTAGCATCCTCCTCCCTTAGGACCCAGTCACATCCCTCGGTCCCCTTCCCCCCCCGCCCCCCACATCTCCTTTTTTTTTTCCAGGCGGGTGCCCCCCACCCGCCCCTCACCTTCTTCAGGTAGAAGAGCAGCAGGAACTTGGCCGTGTTGAGCAGGGGCAGTAGAGGGCAGAAAAAACTCCCCACCCAGACCACTGTCTGCGCGTAGATGAGCCCCAGCACCTCGTCGGGCACCTGGAATTCCTGGGTCCCCAGCCGACCCAGCGGCCCGGGACACAGACCACAAAGCAGCCTGAGGGGCCGGGCGGGGCGGGGCGAGCCAGGGGTTTCCCCGCCTCCACCGTTGTGCTCACCAATTAGAAGTGAGCCTATCTGAGGGGCGGGGCCGTCAAGGTCCTGGAGGGGTGTGTCCAGGGGGCGGGGCCAAAGGGAGTAGCTACCTATCACGTGGAAGGGGCGGGGTCTTCGGAGTTAGAGCAAAGAAAAGCAGTCAGAGGCGGGACCGGAAATGGGCGTGGCTAAGAGGGCGAACCCGGGGCGGGGCCTGTTCTAAAAGGGGCGGGCCACTGTGGGGGCGGGGCTCTCACTTCTGCGGGAACTGGATGAGCAGCATTGTGGCCAGGCCAGTCAGCAGGTCAAAGATCAGGAGTTTGTACATCTCCTGCCCCAGCCGAGTCTCCCAGCACTAAGGGCGGAAGAACGGGGTGAGGATGCCCTCAGGACCCGGGCACCAAGCGTATGAGTCTTCCTCCGGGACCTTCAGTTTTGGGGGGGCACCCATACCCCAGTCCTCGAGCGACGGCGTTCTGGCACCCCAGCCCCTCTTCCTCCCAAACCTGGGGTCCCAGCCCCTCATCCTCCTCACCGGAAGTTCTTTGTAATTGTAGCCACAGGCTTTGCACTTTTCGGCCTCTGCATTGCCCCCGCACGTGATCTGATTCCAGAGAGAGGAGAGCAGGACCAGCAGGGAAGCCAGGCGGAGAAACACGGTCCTGGCCGGGGAGAGGAGGGGGGTCAGCCAGGGCCGAGTGCCAGGTCCCTCCTGCGCGGACAGGACTCCCCAGTCTCCCCGTTTTACAGATCAAGAAACGGAGGCTCGCCCTGGCCGGTGTGGCTCAGAGGATAGAGCGTCAGCCTGCGGACTGAAGGGTCCCGGGTTCGATTCTGGTCAAGGGCACATGCCTGGGTTGCAGGCTCAATCCCTAGTGGGGGGTGTGCAGGAGGCAGC